CCCCACCCCCGCTCCCGTTTCTGTGTTTCTTTTGTCCCCTTTCTCTAAGCATTTGTACTCCTGTCTCTGCCCTCTGCCTCCTCTTCTAAGTCTCCCTCCCTCTGTCCCATTGCTCTCTGAATGTGGCCCCCTCCTTCTGAGTCTTTGCTCATCTTTTAAGCCACGGAATCCTCTCCCATGACTGTGCCTCGGTACTTTCCACCCCCAGTCTCTTTCTCTTGGTCTTTGCACCTTTCCCTCGGGGATTTGTCTTTCCCTCGAGGCCTCTGTCCCCGAGTCTCCGTCCCTCCTCTTTGTGCCTCTGTCCTACACTACCCACTCCCACCCCCGACCCCAGGCTTTATTCTCCCACTCTCTGGATCTCTACCTATTCATCTGGGCCTGGGCCCATCACTCTTGTTATCTGACCTCCCTCCCTGTGTCTCTTCCCCCTCCCCTGTCTCCGCACTCCCCCACTGCCTTTTCTCTTTCTGCTCTTTCTCTTTTTGTCTGTCCCCTCCACGGGTCTCTATTACCCCCTTCCCGGGTCTTTTTCACCCCCTTCTGAGTCTCTGTCCCCCTCTCTCTGGGTCTCTGCCCACACTTCTTTAGGACTCTGTCCGGTGTCCTTCAGTCTCTGCCCCTGTCTCTAGACCTCTGTCTCTTTCTCTCAGGCTCCCCCCCCCATCATCCCCTCTAACCCCCATCCTGGCCAGGACACTAGGCTGCGTCACTGCAGGGTGTTGCAGAAGTGGGGTTTGTCCTGCAGACTAGAGAGGTAGTTTCCATCACCCCTCAGACCCTGGGCTCCCCACTGCCGGGATTTCAGCATCCTCCAGTCCTCAAGCCCCGGACAAGCCCCAGGAGGACAGAGAAAATACATCGGGGCTCCCTGTTCTTCTCTGCCCCGAATTCTGGTATGTCCCCAGGCAAAAGCAGTGAATCCTGAGGTGAGGGACTGGGCTTGGGTTGAATGAGGCTCTGGGCAAGTCAGGGATGGGGGTCTGGTAGGCATTAGGTAGGGGCGGGGAGTAGGGGCTACTAGGGTAAGGACCTTAGTCAGCACCCACCCTTATCCTTACCCTTCCCACCCCCAACTCTACTTTTCTCTCCTGCTTTTGACAGCAGCTACGCACGGGATCAAGTTACCAAATCAGCGTTTTTGCAGAGGTCAGGTGTGTGAGAAGGTGCGGGCTGGGGTGGGGGTGGGGGGCTGGATGGGGGAGAGTATGGAACGAGGCCCTGGATTAGAGACCATGGGAGGTGGGAGGAAGCCAGGGCAAGGCATAACTGGATGGCCCAGACTCCTTCAGGCCCTGGGAAATTGGATGTCGTCACTCCCTCATGACTGTTCCCAGGCCCCACCAGAGTATGTGGGGGATTTGTGTCCCTGGCCGGATTCTCCACCCATGCGGGGGCAGGGTGAGTGGGGGGCTTCTGAAGACCTAATGAGGGCTCGGGCTACGGGACACCTTGCCCAGAAAACAGACCAGTGCAAGTGGACTTGATTTTTGGCGACTGGCACCAGGAGGGGGCAGGCCAATGTCTGTCCACGTCTTTGGATCATTTCCCCATCCCTCCTCCGTCCCAATCTATCCTTTCCCAGGTCCTCAAGGCACAACATTCCTGAAAGCTCCAAACTCCCACCTCTGTCATCCTGGGCGCTCCCTCCTAACTCTCCCTCGCCCATTCCCCAAGGCCCTGGAATTGGAGATCTTTCCCTTCCTGACTTCTAGGATCTTGTTCTTCCGCCCCATTCCTATCAGTTCCAAATCCAGGAAAGAGGGTCTCCCGCATACTAAAGCTGAAAATGTGGGGAATCTGCCCACGATCCTTGGTTCCCCGGGACCCTCCAAATAAATACCTTGGCCCCCAAAAGATCGTTATTAAGGGGGAAATCTCTCCGCTGTCATCTTTGAGTCCCCATCTCCCGAGTCCCTCGCCTCCACCACTAGGATCTGAGTGGTCTAACAGCCCCGGTTCCCTGAGCCTTTTAGCCCCCGGTCTGTACTCACCCCAAGTCGAGGCGGGGCGGGGATGGGGGAATCCGGGGCTGGCGATGGGGGGAGGGGTGACCCAGCTCTGGGCAGCAAAAGGCTGCGTAAGGGGGAGTGACATCACCGCCCAAGAAGGAGTGGCGGCACAGCTCCCTGCAACCCGGGGTCTTCAAGCCCCGCCTTTACGGCGGACCCGGGGGTCCGGGAACCCAAGAGGAGAGAGGAGGAGCTGGAGATGAAGTCTGCGGGAACGCTATCTCCTCCCCTTAAAGCAAGAATTGGAAAACCCATTACGATTTCAGCCAACCCCCATTGCCACCTGTCGCAGCTGTCGCGACCTGTCGCCTCCCACGCAAGTTGTGTCTGCGCCCGCCCCCGCTGCCGTGAATACGGCCTAGACTACAACGTCCGTGATGCTCCGCGGTGCTGGGCGCCTTTGACGAGAGGCAGTGTAGGCGAAGGGCTTCATGGGATTTGTAGTACAAAGCATTCACACCAGTATATGAGCCCTGAAGAAAAGGAGCAATACCTTTATCTTTCTTTTCCTTGACTACAGAGAGCTGGACACTAGTTTTTCTCTCCAAAAATCACGCACTTAAAAAAAAAATAAAAAGGCGACTCAGCTAGGTTCAAAGGAAATAGCGAGTTTTTACAGAGTAGCGGGACCTGGGCGATCACCCGATGCGCATGCGTCTAACCCGGGCGTCCGCCGGAGAACTGCGCCTGCGTGGACCCACCGCCCGGCGGTCCCGCGCCAGGCGGGCGAGCGCGCGCCAGCCCCACCCGGGCGCCTTCTTTCAGGTTCCCACGGTCGAAGACCGCCACGTAGCTGCGCAAGAAGACGTCGCCGAGGATCCAGAGGGGCCCTGCCGGCGGAGGCACGTCCAGGGCCTGGAAGCCAAGGAAGCAGAGGCGGGAGCCACCCCGAGCGATCTGCAGGGCGACAAGCAGGGCCGCTGGGCGTCGAGCCTACCGAGCCCGCTTCTTTCCTGGGAGACGAAGCCCCAGCCCGCCCACTACCCCGGGCACAATAAAGGTTTCTGTGGCCCCTGCTCGCTCCCAGCTCCACCCTCGCAACCCCCCACTGGCCGCGTCCCTCCGACGTCTTTGAGACAGCGCCTTACCTGGATGACGTAGTCCTCGGAGGTGAGGTTAAACCAGGCGCCCCCAAGGTTGAAGGAGACTGGAGGCAGCGTTGAGATGATCGAGCACTCGACGATGTACTGAGGCAGAAGAGACACACGCGGAGATGTTATTAATAACCCAGGAAGTTTATCTTCCTGAAAGACCCATGTGATGACCTTGTTTCGAAGACAGGAAAAGGTGAGCGAGCAGCATTAGTGTATAACACTCTGGAAGGAGAGTCGACAGCAGCGACAGGCATCAAAGCATTGTTTTAAGCATCTTAAGTGGATTATTGATTCAGGCCTCACAGCACACCGAAAAAGTATTAGTAACCCTATTTTAGAGACTAGGAAACTGAGGCCGATGAATGTTAAGCGATGTGTCCAAGATAACACAGCCAGCCAGTCAATGGCAGAGCTGGATTCCAACCTGTGCAACCCATGGTCACAACCACCGTGATCTGCGCGGTTCCTTTGGCTCATTACAGGCCTGCATATGTCCTAGGCATTTGACTTGGAACCCCAGGAGCTGAGTTTTCTCCACCCTCTCAGAAGTCCCAAAGAGCACAGTGAGGAGTCACAGAAATTCAGACCTGGAAGGACCCTGCCCCTGCCAGGACACTGCAGGGCTGGAGGTGGAAGTGGGTGGCCACTCTTATGTTGCACCGACCCCCACTCCATGCTTGAAACACGCTTTGTGTGGCTTTTGTGAGCCTACACTCTCCAGGTGCTCCTTCGTGGGTGTTCCCTGAGGATGTTCCTGGGACGTCTTCTGGGAGGGCTCACCTCTCCATGGCTGTGATCACTGTCTGAGGGCTGATGGCCCCTAAATATGACATCTGAGCTTCTTCCACACCTCCTTGAGAGGTCCCCAGGTCCCCTAGCCTCTCACTCCCATCCAGTCCTGAATAGACCTGTGTCATTGTCTCCTCCCATCCACTGAGTCTCTCAATGTAGACATTTAGGAGGTGTCCTCGTTTCTGCCCACTTCCCACAGCCTGTCACTCACAGTGTCCAGTGCCTTCTGCCCTGGAATACCTCCTGTCCACCTGATTCCTACCCTCAGACCCAAGCATCCTCCCCAGGTTCTGCCATTAAACCCGTATCAGCCTCCCCCCACCAGGCACTGGGTTCTTACTATTCCCAACAGGGAGAATCCCCCTCCGACAGCTGTATGCAGGGCCCGGATCTCCTCAGAGGGTCCCGTGATGAGAGATGTGCCTGTGTCCAGAATGGCAGCACAGCCCTGGGCACAAAGAGTCAGCCCTGTGCCCACCTTCACACTGTAATTCAGAAGTGGGCAGTCGTTAGAGCCAGTGTTCCAGGAGTCCAGGCCCCCAACCCCCCTTCCCTCAGACCCAGGAGTCCAGGCCTCCAGTCTCTTTCTCCCTTAGACCCAGGAGTCCAGGTCACCAGCTCCCTTCCCTCCAGGACACTGGAGATCAGTCTCCAGCCACCCCTGCCAACCTAGGAGGCCAGGTCCCTCACCGCTCCATGTGGATCTGCCAATAGGCAGGGACCGTGACTGGCATGTAGGTGAGAGGTGGGATGTAGTGTGCTGGGTCTGAGCCACCCAGAACCAGCTCTCCTCCATCGACCTCTTTAGGGTCCCTGCAGAGACGAGAGTGCTATCAGCGTCACCAGAGTTTGCCCTGCCAGCCCCAGGAGTGACTAAGGAAGGGACTTCCTGTCAATGGTTTGGTTTCTGGGTTCTAGGTGGGGCAGTGAGACACAGGCAGGGCCTAGATGTTGGGACTGGAAGGAAGATGGAGATGGGGATTTTATGGTCTTGCAGGCTTCCTGGAGCAGGAGTGGGACTTCCTGACTTGGAGGTGGAAGGTAGAACTTTTGGGGGTAAGTTTTGATAAGAGTTTATTTGAGCCCAAACTGAGGACATATGCCAGGGAGCAAGACCTCAAATCTTCCTCATTTGAGTTGGAAAATTTCCTGATTTGATTTGGAAATAATGGAGGGTTTTTTTTAAAACTGATGGTTAGCTTCTTTAGTATATCTTAAAGTGTTGCTTAGTGAGTGGAACTTATAAATAGGGTTCAGGTGTTTCTTATACTGGGAGGTGAACTTCCTGGGTTGGGTGGATGACTTCCTAAATAGAGAGGAGCTCAGCAATTTCCTGAATGAAGGGTGGGCCTTCCTTTATTGGGACTTCCTGAAGGCCAGCAGAGCTTCCTCCTTGGGGCTAGGACTTACAGGAAGGTAGACCCTCCCCCATTACCTGTTGAGGTAGAAAGAGAAGACAGGCTTATCCAGTAGACCTTGGTCCACCAGTGTATCCAGTGGCGGCTGAACTCCTCCCACGGCCAGAATGGGAAAACCAAGACCCAGTATCCCATCAAAGTGGCCAAAAAGGAACACTAGGCTGGGCTCCCACAGAGCCTCCCCGAAAATCACTGTTGCATTCGTGATCCCCCCAATCTAGGGGAAGATTCAAATGGGGCAAGTTATTTCTGGGAGGGCATTTCCCATATATTCCTGAGAGGGCCCTAACCAAGGCCTGAATCCCAGCTGCCTAGGAAGCTTCACCTCCCCACTTAAGGATTCCAGCCCCTTTACCCAGGAAGCCCACCACCAGGCTTGGGAAGCCCCATCCATTTGCTCAGGAAGCTCAGCTTCCTCAAGCCCCTCCCTAAGCCAGATCATCTTAGACATTGGGGTTCTCCCGGGGTCAAGCCTTCTTGGGGCCAAAGGTCACCTACCGCCAGCTTGTCCTCACTCAGGATGCCTTTTAGCCGCCCAGTTCCGTATTGAATGGCAAACTTGGTTCCATTGGACTTAAAGGAGCTGGAGGCTTTGGGGTTGAATCGGTGGTGGAACCCTAGGTCAGAAGGTCAGGGATCTGTCACTGGGGGAGCAGAGTCTCCCTCATGAATGCACCTCAAAAATCCCCTAGCCCCCCCTTCTCCCTTCAGCCCCACTCAACCTTATCCTACCCCACTACCCCACAAAAGCTCACAGCAGGGCAGGCTGAAGAAGCTGCATCTCCTGGATGGGACCCAGAGATTGGAGGAGCCAGTGTCAAAGACAACAGAGAAGTTTTGTGGGGGCGTCCCCAGCCCAATTTTCCCATAATACTGGACCTGGTGGCAAAAAATGGAGAGAGGGTGAATGAAGAACTTGACTTGAGGGCAGGAGAGCGGAACGGTATGGGGCTGTGACTCACCTTCATGTAATCCGAGAGAGGCACAAAAGCGGGCTTGCCCCCAGGGGATGGGGCCGCCAGCCTGAGGGGCTCTTCTGGGTTCGCCCATCCCCTCAGCGGGTTCAGGGTCCTACTTCCAGTGTAGACCCGGCGAAGAGGGATCCTGTAGGGAGGAGAATGCTGACAGCTAGGAAGCTGTCCTTCCTATGGACCTTCTATCACAGTCTTTCCCAAATAGAATATGGTGACATCTTCGTGGCCCTATATACAGTAACAGCCAGACCCTACAAGGACAACCTTCCAGGAGGCCCTACCAGACCATGATGACAAAATTCTCCAAGACTACAAGAGCAAACAAACCGAAACAGACCTTCCCCAAAAGCTTTCCTAGAGACATTCCAAATAATGTAAAATACGCCATTCCCAGGAGTGGGCGCTCACAAAGTTTTCCAAAGACCCTAACATAAAACTAGCCTTTGTAAAACAAAACAAAACCCCGCGTGCTTGTAGTTTGTGGTGTTGAAAACTATTTCCCCCACCATTGGGGGAGGGGGAAATATAAGCACTAAATCCCAATTTCACTTTTTACACTAAAATACATTCCAGATATATCGACAACTCGATGTGAAATGTAAAATTGTCAGAGCACTGGAAGGAAGGAAAATGTTTAAGTAACTCTGGGAAGAGAAAGGCTTTTCTAAGCATGATGCCAAGATCAGAAATCAGGGGAATATTGATGAGGGTGACTCTAAAGTTGTAAACTTCTTTAAATAAATAAGACAATCCAGCGTTGGGAGACAGTTTCCATGGGCCTCTCACATTTTTGCAGAGGCACTGACTGCCTTTGTCCAGACTGTCTTGTCAAGGATTTTGTTTAGTGAACATCCTTGGAAGAGAGATAGTGCCCCCCACAACTCCCTGGACCAAAGAGCAGGCAGATTTATGATCCATTATAAAAAATTCAAGTTCCCTAAGCTTAGGGTTCCTCTCCTGTAATGCACCTCACTGCACTTCACCCTGTGGGAACTGGAGTTCAAAAAACGGACACAAATGCTGATATTCAGGCTACTCCTATTGCTGGGAGTAACAAACTGTCTTTTGTCTCTGACCTGGGAGTCTCATGTCTTCTACAAGCAGCCATGAAACTGTACCAAGCTAACTTCACAGTTCTCGACATGCCTTAGGGAAATGGGCAAAGGACATAAGCAGGTAATTTATAAAAGAAGTATAAACAGCAGCATGGAAAGCTGTTCAACCCCCAATCATCGTCAACGAAAAATACACCATGCAGACTGGCAAATAACTAGGAAAACTCACTGTAGGCTAGGGGGTGTAGATTGATACAGGCTTCCTGAAGTGTGGTCTGTTAATATGTATCATGAGCCTTAAAACTGACACACCATCTAGTCCAACTCAGTTTCAGTTCTAGAAATTTCATCCACAGGAGATCTTGAGAGAAGTGTGCAAAGATGTATTTATGAGGCTGTCTAATTTTGAGAACTGGAGACCACCACTGGGTGTGGCTCTGCTCTGCTATGGAAACTGTATAAAATGGAATCCATCTGACTGCCAGCAAGGAGAATGCTCTCTGTGTCCGCGTTTCTCAAAATTGAGTGTGAATCAGGGTCATCTCGAAGGGGGGGGGGAGGTGATGGCAAATTTTTTGGTAAAGGCTTTTCAGGCCGTAGCAGCCCCTCAATTCTGTCAGCATAGCGTGAAAGAGCCACAGACAACATGTCCACGAATGAACATGGCTGGGTTCCACTCAACTTTATTTGCAAAAACAGGTGGCAGGCTGGGTTTGGCCTTTGAGCTGAGTGTTTGCCAGCCACCACCTGGAAGGCTGGTTAAAATTTGGAATGCTCAGTTTCTGATGGAGCAGATCTGGAGGGGAGCCTGAGAACTTGCATCTCTAAACAAGTTCCTGGGGCATGCGTTGCTGTGGGGCCTGGGACAACTCTCGGGATCACTCTTTATGGACTTGGGCAATAATGGCCATGATCTATTAGGTAACCCAAGTGGGTTAGCAAACCTATGTGCAGTGATTATATATANGATGGAGCAGATCTGGAGGGGAGCCTGAGAACTTGCATCTCTAAACAAGTTCCTGGGGCATGCGTTGCTGTGGGGCCTGGGACAACTCTCGGGATCACTCTTTATGGACTTGGGCAATAATGGCCATGATCTATTAGGTAACCCAAGCGGGTTAGCAAACCTGTGTGCAGTGATTATATATNATATATAGATATATAGATATATAGATATATAGATATATAGATATATAGATATATAGATATATAGATATATAGATATAGATATATAGATATAGATAGATATAGATATAGATAGATAGATATATAGATATATATACACACACATATATAGGTAGATAGGTATATAGATATGTGTGTGTGTGTGTGTACAGTTAACCTTCATCCAAGGATTTTCCCCCCATTGATCGTTAGAGAGTGGAAGCGGGGGAGAGAGAGACATCGACTGGTTGGCTCTCGCATGTGCGCTGCCGGGGCTGGGGATTGAACCTGCAACCCAGGGACATGCCCTTGACTGGGAATTGAGCCCATGACCCTTCGGTGCTCTGGCCGACACTCTAACCACTGAGCCACACCAGCCAGGGCTGCAGTGGTCTTTTCTGCACCCGCCGCAGTCACTCCTGGGGGCCCTGCCCCCCACTCACAGCTTTGCCCCCTCCCCACCCTGACTGGGTCCCTGAGAGGCTCAGGAACGTTAAGTGGGGTTCCTGGAAGAGTGTCTCCCCCTCCCCCCCCAGAGGTTCAGCAGGTGAGGAGAGCAGAGAGAGGGAGAGATGGGGGCAGCAGTGGTCAGATGAGGGGAGATCGTTGGGGGTCCCCCAAACTGGACTCATTGAGACCTAAACAGTCTGGAAGATGCGACTCTGAGGGAGCCTCCGTTCAGGTCACAGACCGAGGTCTGGGCCATCTGCCCGTGGGGGGAGGTGTGTCACACGCCTGGAGCTCATGGGGCTCTCCCAAAAAACAGGTACCGAGGAGGGGGCGGGGTCCCCATCCAGGGTTTGGGGCTGGAGGAGTTGGGGGGCAGGGGAACCCAGGTTGGAGCCTGGGAAGCAGTCCTGAGTCCTGGGGCGCCAGGGTTGAGAGTCCCCGAGCTGGGGCGCCCCAGACCCGAAGGGCGAGGAGGGGAGGGTCCGTCCCAGGGGTGGGGGGGGTCCCCGGTACCGGGTCAGCGTGGCCCCCGCGGGCTCCGGGGTCAGCAGCAGCAGCAGCAGCAGCGCTGGCGGCAGAGGCATCTCTGGGGCGCCGGCGGGGCCCCGACGGCCTGCAGCTGGTTTTCTGTCCCCAGAGGCCCCGCCCTGTTCACCGCCCACCTCCGGGTGTCCGCGGTGACCGAGGCCTGAGGTCCGCCGTGGGGGACGCGGGAGGGAGCGGGCGATATTTCTGAAGCGACGTGTGCCGTGCTTTTGGAGCTCTGCAGACGCGCCGTCCGGGCTCGCAGCGCCTTGCTCCCCCGCGTGGCGGTGACCGCGGGGGCCTCCTGCGTCCCCAGCCCCTCTTTTCGCTGCTATCGCTTTTACTTATAACTTTCACTTCCTTTTTCTGAGACTCATTAACCACAAGGGTTTCTTGAGCAACTGAAGAGATGGGCAGGGTGTTGATAAAAGGGCTGGGGGAAGGGAGAGGGGACCAGACCTGAGGGCCGCCTTCCCCAAATCAAGTGGGACCTTGAGAGCATCAGGACCCCCTAAGAAAAGCAAATAAAAATCGCCCCTAGCCCCACCACCATCGAAAAAGCATAGCCCTGGCCGGCTAGCTCGGCTGGTCGGAGCATCGTGCGGAAATGCCAAGGTTGCGGGTCTGATCCCTGGCCAGGGCACTGCGAGAATCAGCCAGTGATGCGTCAGTAGGTGGAACAACAGATCCATGTTTCTCTCTCACTCTCAAACCAATATATGAAAATTTTTAAAAACCCCAAAACCTTCATTCTAGAAGACTTATGATAAAGAAATCCCCCAACACTCCTCTTCCCATTTTTCCCCTCCCGAGAAGCAGCTGCTTTCATCTCTTTTAGCTGATCGTTTCGGCTCTATCTCCATGTCTCTAAGGAACATATTTGTATTGCTGCTTCTTGATTTATCAGTGTTGCACATGACCCTCTGCCCTCCCACTATGGAAAATAAAGATTTAACGCTCTTTCCTCCCTCTGCCCACACTCCTTACACACACTTTCCCTTTCCTCTTTAGCATTGATCTGTGAGAATTGGGGTTAGATCAATTTACCATTTCTCATCAAGGGAAATGCCTATTAAAATCTCAATGCGATACCACTCTTGCCAGAATGGCTAACACTGAACAAACAAACAAACAAAACCAACTGACAATGACAAGTGCTGGTGAGGAAGTGGAGCCACTGGAACTCTGATACACTGCAGGTGGGAATGTAAAATAGCATGCGCATTTTGGGGAAAATGGCTGGTAGTGTCTAGCTGAACATAGCATAGCCCGTGACCCAGCAATTCTGCTCCTGCGTGTGCCCAAGAGAAATAAGTACTTGTGTCATCAAAAGATATACAGAAGATGTTTATGGCAACATTAGTTGCCATAGCCCCAAACTGGAAACAACTGGCACGTCTATCAGCATAAGAATAGACGTACCATGGTATGCATTCATTCAGTGGATTCCTACTCCGGAATGAAGAGAGAGCTGGTAACTCACACAACAACTTGGGTAACTTTCACAGATGTAATGAGAGGTGAAGAACTCAGACACAAGAGTACATACTGTTGTGTTGGCTATGGACTGAATGTTTGTGTCCACTCCCGAATTCATGTGTTAAAACCCAGCCCCAAACAAGACGGTATTTGGAGGTGGGGCCTTTGGGGATTGGTTAGGTCATGAAGGTGGAGCCCTCGTGAATGGGATTAGTGCCCCTATGAAATAGACCCCAGAGAGTCCCCTTACACCTTCTGCCATGTGAGGGCACAGTGCAGAGACGGCTGTCTATAGCCAGGAGGCAGGCTCTCACCAGACACCTAATGGGCCCTTGACCTGGAACTTCCCAGCCTCCAGAACTGCTAGAGGTAAGTTTGTCTTATTTATGAACCACCCAGTCTATGATATTTTGTGGGGTGTTTTGTTTTGTTTTGCTTTATGGTAGCTTGTTATAGCAGCCCAAACAAATTAAAACACTGTATCATTCCATTCATGCTAAGTCCAAGAGCAGGCAAAAAGAAGCTATAGTTACAGAATTGGGGACAGTGGTGATCCTTTGGTAAAGTCAGGGGCTAGAAGGGGGCACAAGGGAGGCTTCAGGGGCGCTGGGGAGATTACCTCAATCTGAGTGTCAGTTACATGGGTGTATACATTGTAAAGATTTATCGAGCTGTCCATTTAAGATTTCACATTTTACTGTCAGTAAGTTTTATCACAGAAAAAAGTTAAAAAAATAAATATAGAGATGATTGCCAGAAAAACAATTGAATGTTTACATTATTACAACTCTGTAAGTGCCATTTACAAGAACTGGCAAAACCTAAAGAAAAGCAGACTTGGGTGGGTGTAGTAGTCAGCTAATGCTGTGTAACAAACCACCCCCAAAGTGAGTGGTTTAAGAGAGAAATAATCAAATTATCTTTTGTGACCTCCCTGAGTTAGAAATTTGAATGAACCTTGGCCACGGGGTTGCAGACAGATGTCAGCTGAGGCTGCCATCATCTGAAGGCTTCACTAAGACTGGAGGATCTGCTTTCGAGATGATTGGGGCCCCAACTCTTGAACTTGGGTGTTTTTTTTAGTATGATATAGCAGGAAAGTCCCTTTGGTGGACCCTGGAGGAAAGAGATCTTCAAGGATGGAGTTACAAAGAAGGGGGTCCCAGAAAGAGAAGTGGGTCTAAGATCCCCAAGTTTCAGAAAGCTCCCTCAGCAGCACCATGAGGAAGGGTGGACATTCAGGGGGATCCTAAGGGAACAAAGCCTCAAGGGTTGTACAAATAATTACACAAGAGAGAGGAGGAAATATTATAAGATGGAAAGTTTTGAGTAGGGAGAGGAGAAGAGAGTCAGTGCCTGAGTGGAGGGGCTGGCCTCTTACAGCTTGTCCAAACATGGCCATGGCCGCAGTGTGAGTTCCTCTGCGGGCGGGCTAAGAATATCCCTGGGGTAAGCATAGAGAAATTTCCTTCTGATAGCTTCTATTTCTTTCAGCAAAAGAAGAAGTGAGAATGAAGAGGGGAAGGGGTGCTGGAGGTTAGAGAGAGAGTGAGAAAATGACTTCTTAGAGACTGGAGAAGAAAACCGTGGGTTGGTTCTGAGTGTCCACTTGATTTTCGCAGTCACACGTCTGAAGTGTGTCCACTCACAAGCTCAGGTGGGTGAAAAGAGGCACAGAGGAGGCAGAGAGTTTATTTTCATCAGACAAGTACAATAGAGGGAGAAAGAGCACGGGAGTTAACACTGTGTGCGCAAGGACACGATTATGGTGGCTGACCACAGAATCTATACTTCTAAAGAAGGAAGTGAGACAGGAGAGGAGGTGAAGAAAACAGAGAGAAAAAATGAGTGGGGTCAAAGGACCAGAGGTACCGATGGCATTACAGAATTGAAAGGCCCTATATGACTTGGTCCCATTGCCTCTCTGATGTCAGCTCTTCCCTCTCTGCCTCTGTCACTCCAATTTAGCCACATTGGCTTCCTTGTTTTTCCTCAACCCCCCCAGACATTCTCCTGCCTCAGGACCTTTTCACAGGCTCTTCTGCCTGAATGTTTTCCCTCCAGAAAACCCTACTCCCTCTCCTCCTTCAAATTTTTGCTTCAATGTCACCTTCTTAGTGCAGTCAACCCTGACCACCCTATTGTACATGGCAGCCATTCTCTCCTTTACCTTGATCTATGTTTGTCATAGGCTTATGGCTTTCTAACATTCCATTAACTCTAAGATGTCATCAACTGTAAGCCATGTACATGTTAGAATCAGTGATAGTGCCTATACTGGTAATTTACTTATTACCTTTAATGCCTGTTTCCCATTAGAATCTAATCTCCACAAGGGCAGGGATCTTGGTCAGTTTCATTTGCCACTGTGTCCCTAGAACCTAGGACAGTGCCTGGCATCTAGCAAATGCTCGGTAAATACTTTTAACAACCCACTTTGAGCACCAGTGGAGGATTTCCCTGGCACCCACATGCAGTCAGCTACTCTAGAGTAACTTTCACCACATCTCCCCCTCCTGTGTCTCAACAGCTGGAAGACTATCCTGATCCTTCAGAATCCACTCCCCCTGGGTTCTGCACAATCGAGCCCAGCCTGCAAATTCCCCAATGGCCACACGGTGGTGCTGTGGGCCTATTTTCCCAGCCATGATCCGCTCTCTGCACTACCAAGTTTCATTTTTTTAAGACTCCTATTTCATTTTATGTTGTAGAACTTGTTCAAACTTTACGAAGCATATTCCTAACAGCTAGAAATGTAAATTTGTGATTACCCCCTATTCAGTACTGGGAAAATATTTCCTGATAGCCTATTTTATGTGAATTGATAAGTTATATGTGTTTTTTCACGTAAATTTCAACATAAATTTTCAGAAAATCTTTACATATATGTATATTTAATATGTCTTTATTAATTTCAGAGAAAGGAAGGGGGAGAGAGAGAGTTAGAAACATCAATGATGAGAGAGTCATTGACCCACTGCCTCTTGCACACCCCCGACTGGGGATCGAGCCCGCAACCCGGGCATGTGCCCTGACCCGGAATTGAACCGCAATCTCCTGGATCCTAGGTTGATGCTCAATCGCTGAGCCACGCGAGCAAGGCAAATTGTACACTTTAAATGGGTGAAATGAATTATAGCCCAGCCAGAGTGGCTCAGTTGGTTGGAGTGTCATCCCCTGCACCGAAAGGTTGCCAGTTCAATTCCTGATCAGGGCACATACCTGGCTGTGGGTTCCATGCCCGGTCTGGGCACCTATGGAAGGCAGCCAATCCATGTTTCTCTCATATTGATGTCTCTCTCTCTCTCTTTCTCTCTCTCATCCCCTTCCTCTCTTTTAAGTATGTCCTCGGGTGAGGATTTTTTTTAAAAGGGTGAATTGTATGGTTATATAAATTGTATCTCAATAAAACTGTTACAGAAAATTAGGGGATATTTAAGTCAGTGATAAATGAGAACATTGGCCTGTAATTAGGTTCAGATAACAAAACTGGTTGGATGCTTAGATATGACAGGCACTGCCTGTCCTAAACCTTCACACCCTTCATAATGTTACCAGACAGGATAGGGACCAGGCTGGA